CCACTGAATAGGCCATGGAGTTCTTAGCCAAGGCAGCCAATCACCTTCCAAACAACCCCATCAAGCTAATGTTCTCCAGGGCTGGTGTCTTATTGTGGTAGAGAACTCCAGTCACTTTGAGCACAGAGGCCCACCAGCCAACAGCTAGCCAGAGCGAGCCATCTTGTCTCATCCCATGTGACTGGCTTTGGCGGTCTCCCACCTGAAGCTAGTTTATCCTTTCTTCTCTTTAGCTAAGAAGCGATCCATGGGGAAGGTGATTTTCTCCACTAAATAGCTGGGGTTTGTGTTCCTTCAACGAAACATTTTTTTCTGCAAAGTTGAAGCATTTCTGCAGCATCCTTCCCTAGACAGATTGTGGCATTCACTCTGCTTGTCTACCTTCTGCTGCCTTTGCACCCCAAAATCCAAACACACACACACACACACCCTAAAACACATTTGGTTCCTGTCCCATCCCCCTTTTGGCTCCTGTCTCCCTTTCCCAATAGTTCCCCCCCCCCAAAATCATTTGGTTCACATCCCTCCTCCCCATATAATTTGGCTCCTGTTCTGTCTCCCCCCGCCCCATACACCCCTGAAATAATTTGGCTTTATTGCCTCCCATACTCACACCCCTTTGTTGTTGTTATAGATTGTAAGCCCCTCAGGGCAGGGACCATATTTTTGTTTTGTGTTTGTACAGCGCCTGGCATGACAGTGTCCCGCTCCATGGATGGGGCTCCTAGGTGCTACGGTGTATGATGGTAGCCCCGAGAGACCACAACTGAAATCAGCTCCCCCCCGTGATTCCAGGGGCAGATGATGGACCAGCAAAACATTCTCAGGTGCAGAACTGGGGGAGAGGGGGCAAGTTTTTTGGCTTTCCTAATTAGCTGCCCTAAGGGAGCCCTCCCCTTGCTGTACTAAGTGCCAATCTACCCCTGCTGGCACATAAGGCCCTCCCTTCCCAGAGGAACAGCCCCCTTCCCCTAGCAAAAGGGCCTGGCTCTCCTGCCACCCTCCCCCTCCTGCCTGCCGCACAACCAGAGCACAAACGGGGCTGGGAGGAGGTCAGGTCACTCCATCTGGCAGAGGTTGTGGGGGCATCACCCCCACACCCCTGCAATAGCAACCCATTGGCTCCAGTTCCCCTCTTCAAACGCCCTACCAGAAATCATTCAGCACCAGCACCCCCCCTCACAAAAAATATTTGGCATCCCCCCGCAAAAACGTCTCCCCACTACCACGCCCCCTCCCTTACCTGGAAAGAAGGTGGCATTCAGAGTGCCTGCAGCTGTGTAACAGCAGGAGGGACCAGCTCTTGTCCATCAGCATCCCCAGGGGTGAGAGAGTCTCCAGAGGTGAATAGAAGAGGGCTCTGGCCTCCCAGCTGCAGGATGTGCTGTGTTTCCAGTCAAAATGGAATTAGGATGAAATCTAGACACTGCATAAACATGGGACTAAACTCGCCTGATTCCTTTGCCGCTGAAATTTCTCTTGCACATCTGGTTCCTTGTACCCACTTTTGCACGGACTAATGGCAGCTGTGCACAGCAGCTGGCCGGGGCTGGGCTCGGCAGCAAAGTGGGCATGTGGAAAAAGGGATTGATGAGCAAAATTAGTGGCACTTTTGAAAATCCAACCAGTTGTGTCCAGAAAGAAGCAATAAATAGACCCAGTCCCACCTTGCACAAAGCGGCACAGACACATACATGCACCCTAAAAGCACCAGCCATGCTCCCTGTAGTCACACATCATACACACAGCAAGGTTGCCAACTTTCCCCATTTTAAGAGTCTCAAGCCGTGTGCCCAGCTCCTGGAATGCAGCGACTGTAGGAAAAATCTTAAAAAAAAAAAAAAAATTCTAAGTAAGTTGCTAGCCCCTGTGGTTGCAGAAAAAAGCTTGAGAACATGACCCGAGTGTATAACCCAAGGGCTCAGAGACCAGAAGGGGAAGAAAAATGCCATTTTTAAAAATTCCAGGGTTTTTAAGACAATCTCCTGATTTTTTGAGGCTTCTCTCCTGTTTGTTTTGAATGCTTCTAGCTGGTGGCATGGCTAATCCACCACTGGTGACTCTGGAGAGCTGGGATCTGTTCTTGGCTTTCCCCCAGGCCTGCTAGGTGACCTCAGGCAGGTTGCACTGCCGTGCCTCAGTTTCCCCATGTGTACAAGAGGGATAATGATATTGTCATGGAGTCACAACGTCTGGTCTACATTCCCCCCTGCCCCCCCCCCCCAAAAAACCCATCACCAGACTCTGGGGAGTGACACCTTTCAGTGTGCAGGACCCACAGTTCCACGGGCCTCTGAGACTGAGTCTTTGGCAGTTCTGATCCCTGTCTCTCTACCCAGCAAATCCAGCTGAGCCCGATTCCTGCGGGAGGCTTGTATGGCAGCCCTTCAGGCACCAGGCTCTCAGAGTCCTGCAGAGACACAAGGAGTCTTTTCTAAACAAGGGAGCCATTTATTAGTCACCTGACACACCGGATCTGAAAGGCCTCGGAGCAGCAGAGGCAGAAATTATGCCAGTCCATCCTGGCCAAGCAAATGCCAAGAGCCAAGTTGCGATGGACTCCCTCCCTGTCTCCCCCTCCCCTTCATCTGCCCAGCTCACAGTTCCTGGGTCCCTCCAAAAGGGCAGCTCTTAGTCCAGTTCACATGTCCTGCCTGCTGGGATTTCCTGTTAGGCATTGATTGTTCAGTCCTTGGCGGGGTCTCACTTCGTCTTGCTGGATCCTCTGTTGATCTGGGTCAGTTTCAATCAGTTCCTCAATGACCCAGTCATTTCTCCTAGACAGCGAGGGGCTGCACACCCATCTCCTGCACTGTTCCAGGAGCAGCGTTAACCCTTTTGCACTCATGGGGTAGCAATGCAGCGTACCAAGGGAAACTGAGGCATACCTAGGATTCATAGAAATATTACAGAAAATTCCCACTGATGACTGCCTTTGTATAATGCTTTGAGGTCTGCGGATGAGAAGCGCTAAGTAAGAGCTGGATATTATTGTTTGGGCTCTCACCACAGATGGATGCAGCAAAGACAAATACACTTCCTTCTGTCTCTCAACACCCCTCCTCCACCACACACACCCTCCCTCTCTCTCCCTCCTGTTCTTTAAGATGAACGACTCCAGACACATTGAGTTTTGCTAAACTACATTCTACTTTATTACCCTCTAATCCAAAGCAAGGAAGTCAAAAGTTAAACCCTCGTCCCACCTCTGTGCCCGTGGCCCAACTCCACCCCCATGCCATTCCCAACCCATCTCTGTCCCAGGACCCACCTCCCTCAACAATAAACCAACCTTTCAGGCCCTTCCCTGAGACAAACAGCTCGAGCCAGAGACAAAAGCCAATGATCCGGCTGGGAGAACCCAGGTCCAAGGAGTCAACTGCTGTGGTAACTAGGAGACGTAGCGTTAGCCCCTTGTCTGCCAGCAGCCGTGCTCCCAGGAAGGAGGCGGATTCCGACAGCTGAGCTGTCAGGGTTCCCGACTCCCTGTGGCCTCCTCACTGATGGACTCAGCCTGGCCTGTTTACTTCCCCAGCTTCCTTCTCTGCCCAGCCTCTTCCTCTCAGAAACCAGCAGATGCCGCCCCCCCCACGCTGTTCCCTCCTCTTGGGGTGTCGTTTGTAGCTCTTTAGGATTCAGGGCCGCTTCCCCTGATACTCACAGGACATTTCCTGTCTGTCCCAGTGCAGTGAGTTCACAGTTCTCAGCTGGCTGGCTCTGAAGAGCAAACGCTGCCATTTCCCAGCATTGTTATTTTTGACCTTCACTCCCTGACTGTCTGACATCACTGCAGAGCTCAGGCAGTAACTTCCTTCCCCAGTTCGGTCCGTCTCCGTCTCTAGCTGTGAGCATCGCTACTTAACCAACTGGCCCCAAGAGGCCAGAGAGGATTTTTCCATTGACACCCACCCAGGGAAGCACAGTCAGACCCAGCGTTAGTGCAACCAAAGATAAAGGTAGAAAATATACTAGCTCAGCCTTTCTAACCATCCTTTGTCTAGCATGGGATGTGTCACGCAGAATCTAATGGGAGCAGTTAGAATGAGATGCCCGGAGGCTCCGGAGGGGAAGGACAGTATAAACATGACACCCTAAAGCTAACAGAATGGAGGGGGAACTATATAAATGCAACCCCTCCCAGGCTAACAGAAAGTGGGGGGAACCATATAAGTGTGACACCCCAAAGCTAATGCTATTGACATCAGATTCCCTGGGCCCACAAAGGCTGTTCTAGGCCTCCCGCAAAGGGGAGGGCCCGTGGAAACCAGCTGCTGCTCTGCACGGTGCTGGGTGAATTCATCCCCCTGGAGCAGGGAGCAAGGCAGAGTTCTGAGCCTTGCCTTTGGCATCCTGAAAGAGGGTCAGGTCCCATGGAGCGGGGCTTGTGCATCTGTGGCTCTAAGGCCAAATTTCATACCTTCATCAGGCACTGGGTCACTGCCCCCCCTTTAAATAGCTAATAACAAGGCAGTTTCCCAGCCACAGAGGCCCTCCGCTGTGCTTATTTCTCCAGGTGTCTCCAGCAGCAGGGAGTTCCACTGGTGAACCATGCGCCGCTCCAAAGTCATTCTGCTCCAGAGACAGATCCCCCTCCCCCGCCACTCTCTCTCTGGTTGTGTCTCCCCCAACCTCTGCCCCACATCCCCCACGCCTGTCTGCTCTGAGGTCTCCCACATTTCCTTCTGAGCCGGTGACAGCACAGAGGCAAACGGAGCGGAGCAGGTGGAAAAAGTCACATCGGGGGGGCGGCACCTCCGTAATCCCATCTCTACTCCACAGCCCATGATGCTAGATACCCCTCCGCCCTTGGCACACCCATACACTGCAAGCTCCATCTGCTTCCCATCCAACTCCCCGAACACTAAACACTCAGCCCCACCCACCTCGCTCTGCTTCCCACCCAACCCCCCGCTGCCCCCTCTGGTTCCTACACCCCCAGTCCCCAACTCTCATCCCCCCTGCTTGATGTCCCTCCCACCTCCCCCTCATCTAGTCCCTATCCCAGACCCAGCCCTCCACCCTTCTAGCTCTCATTTCCGCCTGGGTATGGGGTGGGTGGGGGGAACCCCCTGGTCCTATGGCATTTGGAGGGGTGGGGGAAGAAGGGGGTCTCAGCTACCAGGCGGCTCAAGGCCCATTTTCCTGCATCAGCAGTGAATAATGTTGCCAGTGCGAGGGGGAAATTGCCACCCCCCCTTCCCTCAAAGAATCCCCTGGCTGGGGGGAGAACATGCCAGTCCCCCACCCAGCCCCCTCCAGGGTAGGGGGTGTTTCTGGCTCACTCCAAAGACAGGGGTTCCCCCTCCCCCCCACACACCCTGCTTAGCCATGTTAGGAGCTGGGAGGAGGTTGCTGGGCCCAGCTCTCTGGAGGGGCAGCAGCACTGGCCTCCCCTTCCCCTGGTCTCCATGCGCCGGGAGCGGAGAGAGACTTGGTCGCCCAGGCCCGGGGGGCGGCAGTCGGGGAGGAGGAGGGGACAGGGCATTGGAAGTGGGTGGCAGGATCCTCAGCCCAGGCCTCGGGCGATGGCGTGGTTGTCCCGGTCCTCCTCTCAGCCTCCCACCAGGTGGGCGGCAGCAGGGAGAGTGGGCTGTTGGTGCCGGCGGCGTGGAGTCTCTGGTGGGCCGCCAGGGCCGCGCTGAGGCTGAAGGCTTTGCCGCAGTCGGGACAGACGTGCCGTTTCTCTGCGCCGGCCTGGGCATGGGCCCGCTGGTGCCGGTTGCGGTGGGAGCTGCGGCCGAAGCGCTTGCCACAGTGGGCGCAAGGGAAGGGCTTTTCTCCGGTGTGGGTGAGCCGGTGCCGGTCGTAGTGCGAGCTCCAGGCGAAGCCTTTGCCACAGACGCCGCACTGGTAAGGCTTCTCACCCCGGTGCAGCCGGCGGTGCCGCTCCAGGGCTGCGGCAGCGGTGAAACCTTTGCCACAGTCAGGGCACTGGTGAGGCCTCCCTTCCCGGGTGGCATGGGTGCGCCGGTGAGCCAGCAGGGTGGAGCTGACGGCAAAGCTCTTGCCGCAGTCGCCACAGCGGTAGGGCCGCTCGCCGGTGTGGATGCGCCGGTGCCGCTCCAGGTGGGAGCTGACAGCAAAGGCCCGCCCGCACTCCCCGCACCGGTAGGGCTTTTCTCCCGTGTGGATGCGCCGGTGACGCTCCAGGTGTGAGATCCAGCCGAAGCTCTTCCCGCAGGCCCCGCACGGGTACGGCTTGCCGGCAGCGCCGGTGTCACGGGCTGGCACCGGGTCCTCGGCAGGCTTTTCCCGGGCATGGGTGCGCCGGTGTTTGGCCAGGGCCGATCCCCAGCGGAAGCGGCGCCCGCAGTCCGGGCAGGCGTAGGGGCGCTCGCCCGTGTGCACGCGCTGGTGTTTGAGCAGGTTCGAGCTCTGGCTAAAGCATTTGCCGCACTGTTGGCAGCGGTGGGGTCGCTCAGGGCCACTCTCCTCAACCTGGTCGGGCCCCTCTACTACCCCGCCGCCATCCTGGGTCTGCGTCCCCTTGTGCTTGAAGCGCTGCGGGTCTGTCTGGTGGTTGAGGCGCTTACCGCAGTCGGCACATCTCTGAGGCGGGGGCGGGGCTTCCTCCTCGGCCTCCTCCTCCTCCACGGCCGCTGCGTGGGTGCGCATATGGCGGTCCAGGTGGGAGCTCCAGGCGAAGGCCCGGCCACACTCCCCGCACTGAAAGGGCTTCTCTCCCGTGTGGATGCGCTGGTGCCGCTCCAGGTGGGAGCTCCAGGCGAAGGCCTTGCTGCAGACGCCGCACTCGTACGGCTTGCCGCCCAGGTGGCTCTTCTGGTGCCGGGCCAGGGCGTTGGGGTCGGCGAAGCTCTTGCCACACTGCGGGCAGCGGTTGGGCTTCTCGCCGCCCGGCGCATGGGTGCGCTGGTGGGTCAGCAGGGAGGAGCTGACGCTGAAGCGGCGCCCGCAGTCAGGGCAAGCGTAGGGGCGCTCCCCGGTGTGCACCCGCCGGTGGATGGTCAGGTCCGAACGCTGGATGAAGGTCTTGCCACAGTCGGGGCATTTGTGGGGCCTCTCGCCCGTGTGGATCTTCTGGTGCTTGGCCAGCGCCGACTTGTGGCTGAAGGTCTTGCCACACTCGGGGCAAGTGTTGGGGCTCTCCCCGCTGTTAGCCGGCGGCTTCTCCCCCGCCTCGGGGCTTTGGGGAGCCTTCCCAGCGCCGTCGGCTTTTTCTGAGGCCGGCTCCTCCGGGCTCGCTTGCTGGGGTTTCTCTTCTTCTTTCCCACTGGCAGTGCCATCTGCTGCTAGGGGAGAGAGACCCAGACACAAGTCATTCCCTGCACGGCGAGGGGAACAAACCACAACTGCCGAGGAGTGTTAGTGATGATAATGCAGCATTCAGGCCTCTATATTTGCCTGAGATAGATTTTTGGGTCTTGTTGGCCCATTTGGCTTTTGATATTTTTATATTCTTACTAATATGGGTGATCAAAGAACACTGTGTGTTACATCTGCCCACAAGCAGATGGGTGGGGGGGGGGGAGTGATAAGAAATAGCACTAAAGTGTTGCTGGGTAGAGTAGGAGTGTAATATACGAGCCTACACTTGAAAACTGCCTCAAATCCTATCTCAAGGCAAGGTCAGGCAACCAGTCAGGAGGGGTGAAGGGATGGGGGGGCGGGGCAGGAAGAGTATAAGAAACACTAACAGGCCAAAGACATGCCTGTCCCTGACCGAAGCATAACCTTACTCCCTACTCCTCCCATGGGGTACAAAAGAGGTGGTACCGAAGCCCCAAGACCCTCCAAAAGGGCACATGACCATAAATTGTAAGGGGTGGGACCCAGGGTGTGCCCTACAGGTATAATTATGCCTGCTATGGAGGGGGAACGGGGACACTGGATAAAAAGGCTCTGCCGGCGTGCAGAGCTATGGATATGCTTGCCTGATTAACGCCAATAAACATCGCGTTGCCTGCACTTCAGACTTCTGTCTTCTGCTTTCTGTCTGCCCTTAGCAGGGAGATCGAATGGCCAGCAGCCACATCTCCCCCCAAAACCCTACCCCAAAAGGAGGGGACCGATTCTGCCTCTGCTTCCCATCCGGACGCTCCCAGGGCTCAGTCAGGGTTGGTGGGAAGCCATGCGTGACGTTGCAGGGATCCTCTCCTTCCTGGAGAGGGACTCACCTGCCCGGCCACCTCTGGGCATGTGGAGATCCAGGGCTGTCGGCTCATCCCCTCGGTCCAGCCGGGAGAGCAGGTCAGGCTTGGAAAGTGGAAATTCTGCTCAGGCACAAGGCGGGCGACAAAACAAGCAAGATCAGAGTGGGTTGGGCGTTGCCCCCCCCCCCCCCCCCTTCGGCGCCTCCCTTGGCCTCAGTGGCCCCTTCCCAGAAGCCCATGGGGCTCATGCTCTCTGCCATGACCAGGTCCTTAGTCCTTCTCCCCTCTGTGAGGGGCCTCGGCTCCTATCCACCTTCAACTTCTCTCCTCACCGCTCAAGATACCGAACGACATCACAGCCCATCAGAGAGGAGTCACATTTATACTTGTTTGTCCCCACCGTTACTCCTGCCCCTGTTAAATGGGCTGCTTTTCCCTTTCCCCACCCCAGAGGATCCCCTCTCGCTCAGCCCTGCTATCTCACCTCTCAATTCTCACCCCAAAGCTCCTCAAGGGAGATTTCTGTGCCCAGCCCCCACACGCTCACCCTCCCACCCAGATTCAGCCTCTCTTCGCTGCCTTTCCTAGTAACTCGGAGGGGCCTGGTACCCCAACTCCTGGACATGTCCTCCTCACTCCCTCTGCTGCCTCTTCCGCAGGGACCCACTTCCTCCTCTCCCAGGACCCACCTCCTCCTCTCCCAGATCCTTCTGGCACGTATCCTGTCCTGTTTTGTTGGCTTCTGCAGCCTTGCCTTTGGGAGATCCTTTCCCTCTGCCTTTGTCTCCCTCTGCTATCACTAGGGCCCTACCAAATTCAGGTCCATTCTGGTCAATTTCATGGCCACAGGAATTGAAAACTGGTAAATTTCACATTTGCAGATGTTTAAATCTGAAATTTCACCCTGTTGTAACCGTGGCGGTCCCGACCCAAAAGGGTATTGTGGAGGAGTCACAAACCTGTTGTGTGTGTGTGTGTGTTTGGGGGGTGTGGTCCATGGGATTGCCACCCTCACTTCCGTGCTGCCTTCAGAGAGGGACTCTGAAGACAGCAACCAGGGAGCTTCCTGGAAGTGGGTCTGAGCTCTCCCCCTCCCCTCCCGAGCAGCTGTGCGGGGGTAGGACAAGTCCTGTCCCTCCCCAGGGCAGTCGGAGCTAGAGGCCCCCTGGCTGGGGCGCTCCTAGCAGCAAGGGGAGATCAGATTTCATGGGGAAGGGCTTATTTCCCAGTGTGTGACATGTTTTTCACAGCCGTGAAATTGGTAGTGTCCTAGCTACCACCATCCCTTGGGACCCACTGTCCCGTTCCCATGGCTTCATTCACCCCCCAGGAGGTAGATTCCCCAGCAAGGAAGACCCCTGAATGGGGCCACTCGCGGCTCCTTATGGAGAAGAGGAAGCGATTACTTACCAAGGGCCATCAGGGTTTCGTAGCTCTCCTGCATGACATCCCTGTACAGGGCCCTCTGCCGGGGGTCCAGCAGCACATACTGCTCCATGGTGAGACGCGGCTCCTGCCTCGCCCACCGGCCGTCGGCCTCTGCAACAACAAAACCTCCCCCGCTCAGCACCTGCCACCCCAGCCGTAAGCCCGCCGGCACAGGCACCGCAGGGCCAGGCTGCCCTCTGCCTCCTGGGCTGACTGTCATTCCCATATCCCCGCTTTTTAGAATCCCCTTGTTCCCTCCCCTATGCAGACCTGCTGTGCTTCTGCTACGCCCCTACCTCTTATTCCTGGGAGCACTCCGGGCTGCAGCATCAAATGCCTGGTTATTAATGGACTCTGTTGGCGTTACCCTGATTACAGCAGCTGGTGGCCCTGCATGAATCAGAACTTTCTTGGAGGTTGGCCTAAGGCAGCGGAATAAACTCTCTCAGGAAGTGAGGACCCTCACAAACCTCCCCACCTTCTGCCGCCAGTGCAAAGCCCAGTTCTTGGACCTGGCTTCTCCGACAAACATATAGCACTGGGGGAGGGACATGAATATATATGTTTAAAATTGTGATTGCAAAGCAGGGCTTTGGAGCAGAGCCCGGAGCTGGAGCGCGGAGCAGCTCCGGAGCAGTGGAGCTGCAGGTTTTTGCCTGGAGCTGGAGCGGAGCCAGAGCACAGCTCCAAAGCCCTGTTGCAAAGCGCTCAAATGCTACGATAACTAAGGCCATGTAAGCGCCCGACATTGACATGTAACCGAGCACAGCTGTGCAGAGGATGGAGGTTCCATGTCACGGAGGGTTTTGTGATTTCTAAACAGATCTACTTTCAGAGTCGGCACAAACACCGGAAATTTCAAAATTGTCGGCGAAGGAAAATTAAAAAAAAAAAAAAATCGTTTTGGGGCGTTTGAAAGGTTTTGTTTTGACTCTTGTTTCATTATTATTTTGTGTTATATGATGGCACGTCTCACACACACATTTTAAAAATTCAAAATGAGTCATTTCAAAACACACAACAATCAAAATGTTTTGTTCCCTTTTTTCCCCCTGAAACAAATCAATCTGATGACAGAACTGCATATTCCGATGGCATAAGGTTTCCATCCAGGTGTCTCCAACCATCTCTAGAACTAAGAGGTGAAGTTTTCAGAAACAGCAAGGAGACCCAATTCCCAGTCATTTCAATGGGGCAGGAGCTGATAGCAGGAGGCATGGAGCAGGGGCAATGGGGAGTGGAGTCTCAGGAGAATGTGTTGGGGGGGGTCTCCCCTTCCTCCCCCATATCCAGGGGCTACTCTGTGCAGTTGACACAGGGCTGGAGGGAAGCAAAGACAGATCAGCTGATCTGGAAAAGTCTATGCTAACCAGCTTCAACTTCTCCATCCAGTGGCTGCATCCTTCTGGCAGCCCCCACCATGGTCCCATCTTTGCTGTGTTCCAAGCCAGGAACAGACTCAGCCAAAGATGAGAATGGAGGGAGGGGAAGAGATCAGATCCCTTTCATCTGCTGAGGGCATCGGACCCCTCACCCTGTCTTGGCTAGAAGCAGAAAGGTAAGATACCCACTCCTGGGTGGGGCTCAAACCTGCAACCTCTAGATCCAACAGCATGAGCTGCAATTGCCGGACCTAAGAGACCGAGATGGTGGGCCCCACCACCAGGAGCCAGCTCTAAGCTCTATGTGTTTCTGTCACTAGAGGGGAGACGCATGTGTTATAGGTGGGGGGGGAGAGGGTAGCTGAAAGGGAAGGGTAACTACAGTATTGCCAACCCCGAAACATTCAGGCCTCAACCAAAAAATAACGAGATTTAAAAATCATGATAAATACTGGGGGGGGGGGGGGGGGGGTATTTTCTACCTGGTTTTTGAGCCTATAGGGGTCACATTTTCAAGCGTGTCTGCAGTTTAGGAGGCTGGAAACTCATTGTTGTATTCTTGCGATTTTATCTCATGGCATTTGGTGCAGGAAATTTGGAGAAAAGGGCTTGGTTTAAATTTTTTCATAACTTCAGTCCTGAAACAGTGAGATTTTCAAGCAATATACAAAACACGGTCCTCTTTCACTGCCGCATGGCATTCAAGCCTCCATTTTGCCTGTCCCCAATGAAATGACCCTAATCCGTTGGCTAAATTTCAGCTCCACATGGACATCAAATTACAATAACAATAATCTCTCTTGAGCCCAATAATTAAGGGTACAAGGGTTCCCACAGCCTTGTGAAAGAGCCACACACAGAGGAAGGTCAGTAGCAGAATTTGAACACAGAACCTTCTGGCACCAAAGCACATATTTAAGCCTCTTGAACTAAAGGAGGAACTTCAGCAGCTGGTGCCAGTAATAGCCTCTTACCCTCTCGGAGGACAGAGGCTGCTGTGACATACACTTTAGAAGGATCAAGAATAAAATCCCCACCTTCACTGCATGAATCTCCAGGTGAAATCCTACACAGGATGTCTGACTAGTGACCAAAGAGGTCCCTTCTGGCCATACAATCTAGGTCTTTAAGTGTCTTACAATTACCCCTGGAGGTGGATCATTTACATCTATGCAGGGTGGGTGCAAAAGTCAACCAGATCCGAACGTTGGAGCTTTTGCATTTGCTTGGCATGGATGCGACCAGGCTGCAACAAAGTGCGAGGCAGATGGAGAATTATGCCCCTTGATTTCAGAGGGGCAGGGTGGTGTCAGGTGGGGAAAAGAGGCAAAAGCCTGGGGGGAAGCAGAAAGGAAGAGTTAAAATACGGATCTGTCCCAAGCAGGGACTCTGTGGAAAAGGCATTATGAGGGGTTCTGTGCTGATGGTATATCCCATGTGATTTCCATGTGCCAATCCCACCTACCCTGGGCCACATGCAGAGGGTAAATCCGAGCAGTGCCTGTCCAGTGTCTCTGTGCTAATTTACACCAGCTGAGCATTTGTCTCTGGTTTTTAGCCCGTGTTTCAAAGCTAAACTATTTTCTACTTTTTAAACCTTTTTCCTTGGGCAGCTGACACAAATCTTCTTAGTCAACCACAAAAGCACGTCCTGTGGAGTCGGTAACACATGCCTCGAGTCGCTGAAAATTGCCTCCATTTATTTTCACCCACTTCCACCAATTTACAACCCAGCAGTGGGTTCAAATCGTTCCCTCCATTGTGCATTGCCCAGCTGGGTTAGTTAATGGTTAAGAGTTAATCATTGACTCAAAACTCTTGCAGTTAGTTATCTGCAGAGGAGGCCACTCCATTTCCAAATCACCAATATATTAAACCTCCTAGTGTGGACTGCTATTAAGTTTTTGCCTCTTCATTAACTAGCCATGTATACTTACTGTTGCCTGTCTCTTAGCCAATTTCCAACCCAGAACAGAACCTTACCTCTCATCCCATCATCATTTAGTTTCCTTCATGACCTTTTTGTGAGGGGCTTTGTCAAAGTTTTTGACAGTCCAAATTAAACCTGTCTACTGCTTCTCCATTGTCCACTATTTGCAGTAGTTTTCCACCTGGGGTACACAGAGGCCTTCCAGGGGGTACAGCAGCTCCTTTAGATATTTGCCTAGTTTTACAAGAGGCTACATAAAAACACCAGCGAAGTCAGTACAAACTAAAATGTCATACAGACAATGATTTGTTAATACTTCTCTATATACTATACACTGAAATGTTAGTACAATATTTATATTCCAATTGATTTGTTTTATAATGATATGGTAACAATGAGAAAGAAAGCAACTGTTCAGTAATAGCATGCTGTGAGCCTCATGTATTTTTAGGTCTGATTTTTTTAAGCAAGTCGTTTTTAAGTGAGGTGAAACTTGGGGGTACACAAGACAAATCAGACTCCAGAAAGGGGGACAGTCGTCTGGAAAGGCTGAGAGCCAGTGTTAGTGAACGCTGATAGCTTAGCAACATGATGTTGCTTAGCAGAAGCTATGCTGGTTAGTCTCTATCAGATAATACTGGCCTATCAGCCTATGAAGCTGAGGGTTTAGAACCGTCTTTAAATATTGCTGGAAAGAGATTTTCCAGATACGAAATCAGGCTCACTCACCTGCAATTCCGAGGCCCAGCGCTCTTTACAAATGTATTCTCTACCCTTCAATCCTGTGCTCTAGCAGCTGATTTTCATGTCTGATTGCATTTTCTTTTGTTGCTGGCAATATATTTCTCCTTTTCTAGCAACGATACTTTTGCAAGCGCTGGCTAATTAAATCCCACTTCTCAGTACATGATCATACAGGAGCTTTTTGAAATCCAATTTACATTCCCACCCACAGCCAACCGCAGCTCCATGCCGCCTTCAGCAAGTTAAATCACACATACACACACACAGAGGAGAATGCTAACTTCTGGATCCACTCATGCAAAGAGGAAAGAGCCCGGGCTTGCCAGTGACAGCAGCAGCTCGGGGACTCGCAGACCCCCGAGGAGCAGAGATTATGGGGAGGGTAAGAAGGAGCCATTTTTACAGTCCGGCCACAGCCAAGACCGAATTCTCTCTCTCTCTTTCTCTCAATCACCTGCAGGCTCCGGCTCAGGAGCTGGTGCGGGCAGAGCCCGGGGCAGGTCCCAGCCACCGGAGAAAGTCCCACTGTGGGCTGGGCGCAGAGGGCGCTTTGCTGAAGGTCTTTCCCTGGCGCAGCAACTGCTCAGTCCTGGCTCTTGGGTCACTATGGACGCAGCTGCTGGCACTCAGCGTCTGACCCAGGAAGCTCAGCCCCCTGATATCCTGAGCAAAGGAGAAGAAGAAGAAAAAAATACAGAGGAAGGGAGCAGAGGCATAAGCCAGAGCAGCCTCCCGTCCCTTCGCAATAACCAGAGCCCTCTGGTGGCACCAGCTCCTGGATCCGCATCGCTGCGCTCCCCCCGGGGCAGAACATGGCCCAAAGGGGGCGGATCTGGCCGGATGGATTCTGCCCCCCCTGTCTCTGCCCCCGGCCCAGCCGCCTGCGGGGAGTGTGTGTCGGGAATCCGGTCCCAGCCAGGGGCGTGCTCTGCAGCCGGGCTCCCCATGCCCGTGTGCCCGCTGGTCCCCGCCGGCCTCGGGAGCCAGGCGCAGCCCGGATGTAAATCAGCACCGCTCGGCTGAGTTTGTGGAAGCTATGGCTGTTTACACCGCTGGGGATCTGGCTCCACTGACTCCCAGGGTTTGATGCTAATTTACACCTGCTAGGCATCTGGTCCCCATTGACTCCAATGGAGCGATGCTAATTTACACCTGCTGTGGATCTGGCCCCCAGGGAGTGATGCTAATTTACACCCGCTGGGGATCTGGCCCTCAGCACTTACATGGGGATCTCCAGCCAGACATCTCAAAGTGCTTCACAAAGAAAGGCAAATCTCGTTATTATCTGTGTTTGATGGGTGGGAAACTGAGGCACAGAAGGGCTGTGACTTGCTCCAGATCATGCACCAGGTCAGTGCCAGAGCCCGGAGCAGAACCCAGGAGTCCTGCGCAGGAAGGACCCTCCCAAAATGTGTTCAGGTTCCCACACCACATAACAGCCCAGCAGGAAGCTAGAGTGGAAGCTGCAGCCCAGGGGTGATCATGCATCCTGTTATTGTTCGTACAGCACCTAGCGCAGGGGTGGCCAACCTGAGCCTGAGAAGGAGCCAGAATTTACCAATGTACATTGCCAAAAAGCCACAGTAATATGTCAGCAGTTCCCCATCAACTCCTCCCCCCCCCCCCCCCCCCGCTCCCAGCGCCTCCCACCCCCGATCAGCACCTCCCCCTCCCTCCTTATCCGCTGTTTCATAGCATGCAGGAGGCTGGAGGTCCGGGGAGGAGCGAGGGCACAGCAGGCTCAGGGGAAGGGGCGGGAAGGGGTAGAGTGGGGGCAGGGCCTGTGGCAGAACCAGGCGTTGAGCAGTGAGCACCCCCTGGCACATTGGAAAGTTGGCACCTATAGCTCCAGTCCCGGAGTTGGTGCCTATACAAGGAGCCACGTATTAACTTATGAAGAGCCGCATGTGGCTCCAGAGCCACAGGTTGGCCACCCCTGACCTAGCTCAAAGGGACCCTGGCCCAGGACTAGGGCTCATCGGGGGCAGCACAGTGCACAGAATGGAACATCAGACACTCCTTCCCCTCTGAAGCTCCTGAGACACACAGCAGGGTTTGCTGGGAGGAGGACAGGGAAAGACCCAACAGGAGTCCAAGCTGGTCTGCAGAGATCAGAGGTGACAGAGACTTGGGGGGGAGACGGACAACGTTCATTCCGCACCCAAACACACACTTTGGAGAGCATAGGCCCTTGGTGGCTGGTGAGCACAGGGAGCTGGGGACACTATCATTAACCCTTCTTTTACAGATGGAGAAACTGAGGCCCAGAGAGCAGAAGTGACCTGGCTAAAGTCCCCCAGCAGGCCAGTGGCAAAAGAACCCAGGTGTCCTGCTCTACGCAGTAGTCACACTTGCCCATGGGGGAATAGCTGCTATGAGCGGAGCCAGAAAGGGGGGGGCACTCATGGGGAGCAGCATCCGGGCACAGGTAGGGGGAGGGCTCTTGTTGGGAGTCACCCCTCTGCTCCTTTTGGCCTCCCCAAGCTGTCCCCCAACTTTTGGTGGCTTTCCCACCCCACATACACTATTACAGTCAGTCCGGCACCACTGGAGGAGATGTGAAGGCAAATAAAGAAACCACTAGAAGAAAAATACGCAGGTGGTCAAGAGGAGGTGGTGGGAGGGGGCATGGGTGACTGGAGCTTGCCTCAGTTTCTCCATCTGTAAAAAGGGGTCAGTGACAGCTGACCTCCTCCGTAAAGCGCTTTGAGATCTACTGATGAGAAGTCCTAGATAGGAAGTGGGTGTGCTCCTGTACAAGAGCGAGGTAGTATTATTGCATGGCCTTGGTGAGCCCCCCACCTGGCATACTACACAGGTATAGCAATCCTGTCACAGAGTGGCCCCTCTCTATGACACTGGGGTGAGCCCCACCCCCACCTAGGATCCTGCATGCACATTTATTACACGCAGGAATGGGGCACAGACACAAGAGAAAGACCAAGTGCAGGGTTTATACAATTTCCCCAGAGCTGGCTCGGCTCCTGCAGGTGCTCAGGGGAGCAGAGCCTGGGGGGTTCAGGGAGGGCAGCAGCTCTGGGACTCGCAGACCCCCGGGAACAGAGCTGGGGTGAGGAGGGGCCGTTGGTGCAGAGTTACTTTCCTGCCTGGCCCCAGCCCTTCCCCCTGGGTCTCTCCCCTCACCGGCAGGCTCCGGCTCAGGAGCTGGTGTCGGCAGAGCCTGGGGCTGCCCCAGGGTTGCTTCCAGCCACTGGAGAAAGTCCACTCCATAGGCTGAGCACAGTGGGGGCTTTAATCAGGGCCGGCTCCAGGGTTTTTGCCGCCCCAAGCACCCCCTCCAAAAAAAAGCCACGATCGTGATCTGCAGCGGCAATTCGGCGGGAGGTCCTTCACTCCGAGCGGGAGTAAGGGACCCTCTGCCGAATTGCTGCCGAATAGCTGGACGTGCCGCCCCTCTCCGGAGTCGCCGCCCCAAGCACCTGCTTGCCAAGCTGGTGCCTGGAGCCGGCCCTGGCTTTAATGAAGGTTTCTCCCCAGGAGAGCAAGAAAACAACAGGGCCCAATGTGCAGATGTGGGATGCTCAGCATGAATGAGGGAAAAGCTTATTCACTTCCTCCAGGCTCACAATCACATCCCCGGTGATGCTGCAGGAAACTAGCTGGCCTCTGAGCTTGAGCTCAGAGCTGGGGGAGCTGCACTACACTGCCTGAGGATTGCCTGAGCCTGACTGTCTGATGACCCCAGCTGTGGAGAAGGATTACAGTTTCCAAGGGGGAGAGAGAGTGCCCAAGGAGGAAAAAAGAACTACATTTCCCATCCACCCCTGGGAGTGCAGGCCAGTTTTCCACTCTCAGCTAGCCCAGGCTATTTCTCCTGCTGCTTTGGACAGGGGATAGACATCCAGTCAATGTGCAGTGGCAGTCAAAAAAAGTTTACAGAATGTTGGGAATCATTACGAAAGGGATAGATAATAAGACAGAAAATATCATATGGCCTCTATACACGGTACGTCCACATCTTGAATACTGCGTGCAGATGTGATCACCCCATAGAATCATAGAACATCAGGGTTGGAAGGGACCTCAGGAGGTCATCTAGTCCAACCCCCTGCTCAAAGCAGGACCAATCCCCAACTAAATCATCTCAGCCAGGGCTTTGTCAAGCCTGACCTTAAAAATCTCTAAGGAAGGAGATTCCACCACCTCCCTAGGTAACCCACTCCAGTGCTTCACCACCCTCCTAGTGAAAAAGTTTTTCCTAATATCCAACCTAAACCTCTCCCACTAAACATTTCTTTTCAAAAGTTACTCAGTGCACCGGATCAACTCAACCAAGAGGGCAGGAGGGAGAGGGGAAACTGAGGTGTATGCTCCAGCTGCATTTGTGAGATGGTGGTGAAACAGAGCTGCTTTTGTCAACCCAGCTAATCTAGCCTGCGTGCTCTAGCTGCTTTGCATTGCTCCAGAGTGAGGTAAAGCAGCCAGAGCGTCATGGGAGATTGTTTTGGGGGCAAGGACGACCTTTTTGTTCTGTGTTTGTACAGCCCCTAGCACAGGGTCTGGGGGGAAGAGACTGCATCTCCTAGGCCCCACCACAACAATAAGAACATAAGAACGGCTGTACTGGGTCAGACCAAAGGGCCATCCTGCCCAGTATCCTGTCTACCGACAGTGGCCAATGCCAGGTGCCCCAGAGGGAGTGAACCTAACAGGTAGTGATCAAGTGATCTCTCTCCTGCCAGCCATCTCCACCCTCTGACAAACAGAGTCTAGGGACACCATTCCTTACCCATCCTGGCTAATAGCCATTAATGGACTTAACCACCATGAATTTATCCAGTTCTCTTTTAAACGCTGTTATAGTCCTAGCCTTCACAACCTCCTCAGGTAAGGAGTTCCACAAGTTGACTGTGCGCTGTGTGAAGAACTTCCTTTTATTTGTTTTAAACCTGCTGCCTATTAATTTCATTTGGTGACCCCTAGTTCTTGTATTATGGGAATAAGTAAATAACTTTTCCTTATCAACTTTCTCCACATCACTCATGATTTTATATACCTCTATCATATCCCCCCTTAGTCTCCTCTTTTCCAAGCTGAAAAGTCCTAGCCTCTTTAATCTCTCCTCATATGGGTCCTGTTCCAAACCCCTAATCATTTTAGTTGCCCTTCTCTGAACCTTTTCTAGTGCCAGTATATCTTTTTTGAGATGAGAAGACCACATCTGTATGCAGTATTCAAAATGTGGGCGCACCATCAATTTATATAAGGGCAATAATATATATACACAATATACAAATATTAAGATTGATAGCTTCTAGTAATTAAAAAAGTGTAGTTTGGGGAAGTTCTCTGAGTGCGTTGTTTAGTGTTCATGTATGACAGTGGTTTCCAACCAGGGGTACTTGTACCCCCAGAGGTACGCAGAGATCTTCCAGGGGGTACATCAACTCATCTAGATATTTGTCTAGTTTTACAACAGGCTACATAAAAAGCACGAGCGAAGTCAGTACAAACTAAAATTTCATACAGACAGTGACTTGTTTATACTGCTCTATATACTATACACTGAAATGTAAGTACAATATTTATATTCCAATTGATTTATTTTATAATTATAAGGTAAAAATGAGAAAGGAAGCAATTTTTCAGTGA